CACGTACGCACAGGTAATATGGTAAAACAGAGGCGACAGCGCCGAAAGGTCCGAGAGTGCAGCCGACGGCACTATTAAAATCACTCTTTCAACAGGGAGGGCTGCAACGATCCTGTCAGCAAGTGATGGATACATTCTTTTTAGGGGGATTCAGTCTCTCGATAGTAGTGTGTTTTTCGTCGCTGTGGGGGGGGGGGGGGGGGTTTGAGGGCGGTCGGCGGGCGGTCCGGTGAGATTGTATGAGTTGGTGAGTCAGGTTTGGGTTGTTGTGTTGTTCGGGGACTTGCGTGTGTGAATATCGGTGTGCAGTCGATGCGCGTCTTCCACAAAGCAGTGGGCGGTCGTGGTTCGGGTCGCAAAGAGGGCCGCGCGAGTGAGTGAGTGAGCGAGTGGTCGCGCCGACAGGCCTCGAGGAGTGATTTGTGCAACGACGGCGTCTAGACGGTCGGTAGGGTGTATGGGACGCCTCGGATGAGATGGCCTTTTGCGCGGCCGTCAAAAAAGGGGATAGGTTCTTGATAAGAAGCAATGCCCTTCCCAGTTGGTTTCTTTCAAATGCACCGAAACTCAAAAGCAGGCAACAGCAAGAGACAACCGTTGGAAGCGCACCAAGTGTTGCGACGGCGGACCCAGCCAATCGCAGTCCCAGGCAATTCTCGATGGATATCGCGGGAGCAGAAATGGCTGGTTAGAAGACGTCGAGAGGGTTGCTTTGCTGTGGCTTGAGGTACGCGCATGCGGCCAAGCTGCAAATTCGGAAACTGAGCGATGAGCCGTGCCTCTGGTCCGTTGGTTTCATGGAACAATCCTCACCAGCAAAACGAAATCCCGTCCGCCCGTCCTGCGAGCGGCACGACATCGAGGGGGAGGCTGGGGAGGCGCTCCACTCAAGAATAAACACTCGAGGGATCTGGGAGGGCTTGGCGCGGGAACTTGAATAAACCCTGCCCGCCCTGCCCGCCCTGCCCGCGGTTGCCAAGCATTCACAGTACAGATTACTTGGTTGAGATGGGTAAGTTGCTTCCCCTGTGCAAGTATTGACAGGGCTTGCACAGATATTTTTGTTGATTTGGCAGCGGTTTGGCGCAGTTCGCAGGGGTTTAGCGCGCCCCACGGGTACTCGGACAGGGGAAACAACTTATGCACCATACCACAGTACAGGATATTACACAGTACAACACAGAGTCACCAGCATGCCGTCAAGCGATGGAACAGAACATAAATGGCATCAAACGGTGCCATTGCCAACGCCGCTAACCATCATCAACATGGTATTCGAACCTACCTGCCCACCAAGGGCAGATGGGTAACAGTAAAGGTATCCCCAGATTCCCGTGGTTTTCATCATCATAATCCATCATGTCATCCAAACAACAACATCCCGCGGTATTAAATGTAAATCACACAAACCCCCGTATTGCCCTCATGGTCATCGGCTTCTTATCCTTTTTGTCACCCTTGTCTTCTTTTTTATCCTTGCGCTCTTTCCGCGCCGCGCTTTGAGCCCCCCCTTTAAGACGCCGTCAGCAGCTGTGTCGATCCGAGTCTTCCAAGAAAATCCGACTAACCTCGAGGGAAATTTCTGTCGGCCTGCGGGCTTGTCACCGACCCACCACCGGCGTCGCCAGCCCGGCCGTGTTGTGCTGTCGGGCTCAGCGGGCCATGTGATCCGGGACCCCCTGACACCGACTCAGTCGACGGCGGTACCGTGCTGTGGGACGTTTGCTCCGCAGCTTCCGGATCCGAGGAGCCCCGCTGCCGACTCCGTATTCCTGACGGGCCTTTTCCCATCAGCGACGCCTCGCTGTCGCCGTCAGCTAATGAGCCTCGCTCGGTCCTTCCCCTCCTCTGTTCGGCGTTGCACCGCATATCCAATAATGTTGATTCGAGGGCCGTGCATTTCTTCATGAGCGCATCGTATTGCCTCTGGAGTGCCGTGTTCTTCGCCCGGGCTGATGAGAGGGCACTCTGGTACGCCGCGGCCACGTCGTTGCAGGGCTGCTTCGTGTCTTGCTGGTGCGCCTTGGCGAGTTGCGCTTTCAGTTCCTTGATTTGCGCCTGGTAATGACCATTTGTCTCGCGAAGTTGTTCCTTCAAGGCGGTAGTCTCCTGCTCCACTTGTTGTACCCGAGCCTCCGCGACGGCCGCCTCTTGCATCGCAATATCCATTTTCGTCTCCTTACCCTGTAGCTCCCGCTCCGAAGCCGAGAGTCGCGCAATCTCGCTCTTGAGCTTCTCGATCATAGCTGTGCTAATGTCAACCGTCTCGAGATTTTGTTCCGACTGCAGCCTCTTGTGCTCTGCTTCTTCGACGAGCCGGCGCAGGCTTTCGCATTCCTCTTGCGCCTTTCTCAGTTGCTGGCCTAGGTCATTACCCTCCACGCTCCACCTTTTCTGCTCCTCGCGCAGGCCGCGCAGCTTGTTCGACAGGTCGCTCTCCCACTTTTTGGTCATGTTCCGCCGGTGATCGAACTCTTTCCTAATCTGCGCTTCGCCTCTCTTGGCTTCGTCTAGTCGCTGTTTCAGACTGCGGTTCGCCATCACAAGGTTTTGCGTTTCGGCTTCCGTGGCCGACACCCCAATTTGCCGCCGCCGTAGCTCACCCATGTGTATCATATGCTGTTCTTTTATAAACCTCTCGTACTGCAGATCGTTGATCAACCGAAGCCTGTGGTGCTGCAACAATGCTATTTGGTCGTCTATCTCGAGGCTGGATCTTTTGCACCCCGACCCGTGGCCAGTCGCCTGCTGCAGTGGACTCTTTTCTCCTCCTTGATCATGAAGATTAAGTGCTATTGATGGCACGCTATCGTTGGGAAGCGATTGTTGGAGCGCCGTTTTCACGAGGTCGCTGGAGCGACTGTTGTCTGGAGCGTGATCATGAGATGTTGACTGATCATCGTCCAGTCCACGGTTCTGGGCTTCCGAGAACTCGTACATCGATGGGTGGCTCGACTGGGAGCCTCGGCGGAGCGACGGGGTATTAGCCCGGCGGATGGACATGGAGCTTATCGATAATGCCGGGTGCGAGGGATCGGTACCCGCCGGGTTGGTCAGAAGAGCAGAGTCGGACCCTTCTTGTTCGAGACCGTCGCCCACGGCCGACCCAGGCCCGCCCGGGAGCGGTGTGGCCGGGCGAACATGAGCATTGGTAGGTGTTTGGTCTATGACCAGAGCCAGACAGTCTGCCAGGACCTCATCCGCCTCGCTCTTGATCCACCGACTGAGGTCCGTCTTCTCGGATTCAATGGTGAGGTTGTAAAAGTTTGGGTGCAACAGATGCTGCTTTCTGAACCGATCCGACCGGTCTCTGATCTCCATGGCCTGGACATCGATATCGTCGGCATTGTTCGCATGCCGGAGGTACCGCTGGGGCTTGCGAACGTAATCTAGGAAGTTGATGGGATACAGGCCATACAAAAGGGTGAAGTACTCCGGTAGGTAAGAAAGGGAGTGGCCGTCGTAATCAGGATCCAACAGCGACGTGTCCCAAGGCATTCCGCCTCCGGCCTCGCCGTTTTCTGTTCCCATTTCTGTGTGTTTTTGGGCGAAGTACGAGTCTCGATCCCAGAATAGCAACCGAGCGTAAATATTGAACAATGTGGGGAGAAACGGGACGAGAGAACTGGGGATAAAGGGAAGGATCATGACCAAAGCAACGAGAGCTAAATTGACCGTCGCGGTGGATTCATCTTTCTGAAGGGAATGCAAGATGTTCCCGAACAAGGGGGTTTGTAGGATGAGGTGCAGATGCGGCGGGCCGCTCGAGACGAACGCGCAGAGAAGACTCAGGGCCGAGTTCCTATGCTCTCTTTTGACCACGAATCCGTTCAGGGCCGTCATGAAGCCCTTTGGGTCTCTTTTTCCGAACGCCATTAGGGCATCCTTGATCATCTGCTCCTTGAGGCCGGCCGATTGACGGAGACCCGGCTCCGTCTCGCGCGCCTCCATCCACCTCGTCAGGAGCCGGTGGACGAGGGGCGCCAAACCTTCTTCGTTCCAGGCCATTGGATCATCGTACTCGTCGGTCGAGAGGAGCTCAAGTGTGTGGTCCATCGCCTCCTTCGCTAGGCCTTTCTCCTGTCCGACATGATCCAGCACTGGATCAAGTAGTTTGTCCCACCATTTAAAAACTCTTGCCGGCGTCCGGAGGCCTGAGCGGAGTTGCCGTAGGATCGTGAGGAAAGCAGCGTATTTTTCAGGGTGGTCCTGCACCGCCTTCTCCCAGATGGCCGACAACTCATCGCCCAATCGCTCACCGCATCCTTCGTCGGCCTTTTCGTGCTTCTCGAGGTAATTGACAATGATACCGTTTATTTCGGCGGGAAGGGGCAGCGTCGGTGCCTGGAAAAAGCCATTGAGGGCTTTGGCAAGGTCCTTTGTTGAAGACCTATTTGCAGGATAAGCGGTCAGGAGAGCAAGAAGCAGAAGCCAGGTTGCATTTGCACGATAGGCGGCCTGTTCAAAGGGCCACTCCATGGGGGGGGACCTTACCCGGATGAAGTCATCCTGATCGACACAGAGCGCGTATCATTGGATATACTTGGTAGGCGGGGGGTTGAGCTCAAGAAGTTTCGGGTTCCTTTCGAATCGACAATTGACAGCCCAGAAGAGTGATTCGGAATATTCACCGATATCGGTTTCTCTTTACGACCGGGCGCAGTGCGTAATACTCGGTCAACGCCTTAAACTCGAACTTCGGCCTGGTGCTGTCTCGACACGACTGATTTTTCATCAGGGGTAACAAAGCAAAGTTCGAAGAAGCAGATATCAAACTCCACCGCCCTGCTTGGATTCCTGCGGTCCTGATCACGCTAAATCGATGGGCCCCACCATGTGACCCAGCCTCCAGCCCAGTTTACATGGTCAATGCCCAAAAACCCCGCACTGGGAGAGTAGGTGGGGTCAACCCCAGATATGAGGTGGGCCCGGATCGTCTGATGCATGGTCCGAGAAGGCAAGCCTAGGCACCATAACCGGCATGGCTGCCCCTCTTTGGCGGGGCTTCCTTGACAGCTCTCTCGTGACCTACCTGATCGAAGCCCCCTCCTCCAGTGAGCGTCAGGACACAAAACGAGCTTGTATCCCTTTCGAAAAGCGTTGGGCACACATCCCGATTTTCCACACTCTTCCAACCATCATCTTCCCAAGCTCAGCTCTCTATCTTGTCCACAATCTAGCGATCTAATCTGCTAGTTTCTACTAAACCAACACAGTAAAGACCACCATCCAATACTTCACTTACATCTCGTTTCATACCGAGAACAGACGTCATCCGACCCCTCTCCCCCCTAAACCACAAATATCACAATACAGGTTGCCAAAGATGGCCAATAAGACGTCCGCAGTGGCAGATGAGCCAATTGAGGTGCTCTTTGCCCTGCATCCCAAGTTCAACCTCATGGACTTTGCAGGGCCCGTCGAAGTCCTGACTTCGTGCCTGCACGATGCGAAGGATCCCAGTGAGTGGCCACAACCGCGTCTTTGTTACCAACCCCGCACCTGCTCCTCGGTTCCACCCAAGCTCGGTGGTCAATGCCCTGATGGTGCAGGCGGACACTGCTCAGGGACCTCTAATGGCATAACGCTTTAATACATTTACCGTACTGACACGTTTTTGCCAACAGCCTCCAAGGCCTTCGAAATCACCCTCGCTGGCGGCGAGCCCCAGGTGCTCTCCGAGCAGGGCGTCATCATCGGCGCCCAGGCCACTTGGAAAGAGGCCCACGAGCGCCTTAACGACTTCGATGTCCTCGTCGTTGTCGGCGGTAACGCGGACGAGATTATCAAGCAGAAGGCTGAGCCTCTCGACCTCATCACGGCCTACGCCGAGCTTCAGAAGAACGACCCGAGCCGTGAGCGCACACTGCTCTCCATCTGCACCGGGTCCCATTTCCTGGCTCATCAGGGCATCCTCTCTGGTCTTGCTGCCACGACTCATCCGGACGAGATTACCAAGTTCGAGAACTTGTGCAGCCATGCGGTTGTCCGCCTCCTGGGCGAACACACTGACGTCAAGGAGGAAGCCCGTTACGTGGTGAACAACCTGCGTTTCGAGCTCGGAGATGAGGATGAGAATCCCTACATTCGGCGCAAGTCGGATAGTGGCAGGCGCCCATCCAATGCCCGGTAAGTGTCCGCAGGAGTCGGGTAGCTCGTATGTACAACTAGCTGACATCATTCTAGGAAGGGTTCGATGTCATTCAAGGGCGCGTCGCGAAGGGAGTCAATCGCCCGCCGCGCCGCGATGCGCCTAGGTGGCCTCCGTGTCATCACAAGCGGAGGAGTGGCGGCCGGCATGGATGCGGCCCTATATGTGGCTAGCATCCTGGTGTCGGAGGATTCCGCGAACGAGGTCGCTCGGGTCATGCAGTTGACCTGGACCAAGGGCATTGTTATGGATGGTCTTGATGTGTAAAAATTTAGCGTGGCGTTAAGCTCGCGGCAAGGCGTCGCGTAGCGGTTGAATTGGCTGCGGTTCGGTTAGAACTCGGCACCTAGGGAACACGGAATGTCATCGGTTATGTTTTTTGTAACTGCCTGTTATTTGGGAGTTCTCATGTGATATCTAAATGCATGGTCTAAAATGGAGCTGGTCAGTAGTCGTCGTGCAGGTACCAAAAGTCTCCACCGTAGAAAGGGCTTGGCGGGACACTCACCTTGGCATTTCCATGCCGCTGCCACCTGTAACGGCCCGATGTACCCGACCGGCCACTGAAAATATCCAGACGTCTCGGCTTCTGGATGATGATTGCGCCGACTTGGTGAAGAAACAGCTTCCCGACCCTCGCGCAGCGCCGACGTCTCGTTTTCTCGACCGCATCCCCAGATTACAATCATGACGACACCGTTAGCGGCGGCGGCCGAGACGGTTACCAAACAACTCCCTCGCAGATTCGGCAACAAGCAGATCTTCCTGTACGAAAGGAGCCTCTTGATCCCACTTGTTAATACCTTATAAACTAATTCCAACTCCTTAATCTAGGCCGAATCACGTCATTGCCTTTATCCGCCCCAAGGACAAGCAGCCGCCAAATCTAGCGACGTTCGTTGTTCCGCTGAATTTCAACAAATTCGACCTGCGCGATTACCTCTACCACGCCTACAATGTCGAGGTGACCTCAGTGCGCTCCTTCATCAACCAGCCAGCCCCGAAGCAAAAGTTCGTCGGCGTAGGCAGGATGTACCGACCGCGCTCGCAAAAGATGATGATCGTCGAGCTTTTGAAGCCGTTCGTCTGGCCGGCGCGGCCCGACGACTCAGAGCTCGACCAGTTTGACTACAAGATGTTCCAGCAGTTATCTAAGGAGAGGTCGGCTCAAGTAGAACAGCAGAAGAACGCGATGAGTATTCCCTTGCGGTCTCATGCCCCGGCGAAGGAAGATCGGGTAAGGTTGAGGAAACAGGCGGCCGACATTGTGGAGCGCGGGGAATGGAAGAACAAGAACGATGATGATGGATGGACTGAGGTGGATGCCGATGTGAAGATATAAAACCCGAGGGGAGGAATTGGCGAACGGAAGCGGACTGAGACTTGCGGCACGGTGCTGTTACGATAGAGGCGATGTGTGAAAAAATCCAGCCGCCAGTGGGATGTAATATACCATGCACACAAGACGTAAGGTAGCTTACGATGTACGATTACGATCACGTACCAGTATCCTCGCCATCCACCTTGCCGTCTATCTTGTCATTGCCCTCACCAACAACATTATCATCACCTCCCACCCCTCCCTCATCACCTTCGACCCAGCACTCCTTCCTCTGAAACAACAAAACCTCATCCCCCCAAGCCCACCAACCAGCCGTGAGATTCCTCGCAAACACCTCCAACGCCTCATACCGCTCCGGCAACAGCTCCTCAAAAAGGCCCCTCAGATTCGGCTTCCGCGAATGCACATCCGGCACCGCAACAATCACCTTCCCCCCCACCGGCCCGGTACCACTCCCACTCCCCCCATCCCCACCCCTCTTCCGCCCAATAACCAACCTCTCCCACGGCCTCCTCCACCGCGACTCAACCGGCACAACGGGGCTCCCCCCGACTCGTCACCTTCAACCACGTCCACTCCCCGACCACGTCCACCCCCCACGCCGCAAACACGCCCCCTCCCCCACCAGCACCAGTCAACAACATCCCGAACCTCTCCGCATTCGTCACCCACACCCCAACCAGCCCGCCCGGCTTCAGGCGCGACGCCACGGGCACGCGGTGCAGCAGCGCACGCACGGCGGCGGTGTCGACGGCGGGGGTGTAGGCCGCGGTGCCGCGGCGCTTGCGCTT